CTTCCTGATAGACAAAAAGGTCAAACACAACAATTACTGGTTGCTTTAAATGATTTTCTCACAGACAAAAATTTAACCTCAGGCCATCACCTTGGTTTCAAAGAGTTAACTTTCAATTACATACTTATTCGGAAACACTGAAACGCCCGGTGTGGGTGTACGACTTTACATTGTTATACCCGCATGATATACTTCGTCTGCTCGGGTGATTTAGTGATAAATAGACAGACATGGTTGTTTAGTTCAGCACTGCTTAGCGGGCATCAACCGGGTAAAACGGGCCTACTAGAGCCGTCCAAACAGTGTGCGGTAGAGCATCATCTCCGTCGGAGAGGGCCAACAGCTGGTGAGACTACTACAGAATATGGTCCGCTTGCGAGCACTAGCCAATATATGTTATCAGGACGATTAAAATTAGACATCGGCAGGCAACATCCGCACAGCACCAGCCGACGTCCGGCCGCTCGAAACGGAGAGGGAACATCTGGCACCCTTCCAGACGACGCGTCGTGTAGGTATGGAGCGACGGCTCGGCGGGGGAGGTGTCTCAGCCAGGGAGTGTGAAGCGTTGATAATCCTCCCCTCGGGCGAGGAACACGAGAGCTCGATAGCCCCCGCAGTCAAGATATGCAGCAGTACCGCGCTAAGCTGTGACGATCCGCGGGCTCTGGAGATGCTGCTAACAGCTGGAAGGCGGCCCGGCGGAGAGCCCAGTCATCGTCTGCTCAGACTCGCAGGCGGCGCTCGCCACGCTGGCGAGTGGTGCTGGGAGTCAGACGACCGACGGCATCGGTGCCGCCGTATGGCGACGCCTCCTGACTCCGAGTCCTCATACAGTGGATCCGGCACACTGCGGAATACCCGGCAACGAAACAAAGGGTGGACGTGCTGCGCTAAAGTGGCCTCCAGCATGTCGCAAGCGCCGTCCCGATGGACGTCCGCCTGCTTCGTAAAGGCTGATTGTTTGAAGGACATTGAATTGGACAATCATATACGAATTAATTTCGTGAAGGCTGTCAGCCTTGGCCGCTCCGCCCAAGGCATGGCATCGCAGGGGACAGACAGCATCTTCAAAAAACATTATGGGAGACCGGATGCCGATGCCGGTGTTCTGGTGTCTCGGGACGAGGCGGAACGTCCACCAGCTGCGGGCGGGACATGGAGCCACTCGTAGAGTTATCTGCGCAGGATCGGACGCCACCCCCGAGCGCGAGTCCACAGTGCAGCGACTGGCTGCCCAGTGCAGTGGCGCGCTGCTGGTGTGCCGCGGGTCCGGACACACCGAGAGCGCGTGTTGCTCGGGTGCCCATGCTGGCCGGAGCGAGGCTCCAACTACTCGGAAACCATATGATCGGACCCTACGCAGCTTTGGGACGGCGGTGTCGTGGCGGCCTTCAGCCGCGGCTACTCAGTCACCGAGAGCCGTTGGGCTACGGCCGGCCATGAGCCGACCGCGGAGAACAAGAGCAACAACTTCAGGACGATGAAGATAAGACGATCAGATACCTCGTGGTGGAACAGATCCTGCATATCATCTAGCGAAGTTCCGGCAGAGGTCCCTCACACCTGGAGAAGGTGCTCGATTTGTGTGAAGCCTACGAGCGTTCAATCCTCCAGTCGTCTGATGGCTCGTCATGAACACAACGCAGCAGTGGCAATATCAGCCGACAGCCGCGGTTGACGAACACCCAGCATCTGTAGAAGGCCATGCGGGAGCTAGGGCTCGCTGACCATGCCAACAGCCAGGGCCCTCAGTGTCCGCCAGACGAGTGACCTGACGGGTGGAAGGAAGTCACTATGCTGCAGTCGGAAGAGGAAGTTAACACGAGTGAAGAAGGCCACCATGGCGTTTCATGTTTGCAGTGCAAGGTAAACACCTGCAGTAAGTAAGGTGACCGGCCCTGTCATCCTGGAGGCAGAGAGGCGTAGGCAAGCGATGACACTTACGGTGGATGCTGGGTGAAAACCTGCTCGACCTTGAGACTTAGTGCAGAGTACGTCTGCCGTCTCTAGGGATGCACTACGACCATCCACATCCAAACCTCCTCAGGTTCGGGAGAATGCATTTCAGCGTGACAGGTAAATACTCTGCGACGTTGCGTGCCACAGCCCGGTACCAGTCGGTGGATGCCAGCCTCGTCCTGGTGGATACATGGCCGCTGCGGAAGCCATCACAGGCCTGGGTCTGATGCAAAGCTGGGTGTCACCATTTCCCAACATCAGGTGAGGTCTTCACCATACAAGAGGAGGGGGATGCGATTCTCCCGACCATCAATGGCTACCAGCATTACAGCATCCTCGTCCAAATGTCCCATCCTCGTCCCTAAGCCCACGGACTACAAGCTGCGCCGTCTTTTGCTCTCTGTTCGAGATGAGGTGCGGAGGAGCGGAAGACATCGTGGAGAAGATTGAAGCGTCCTCATGGGTTGAACCCGCAGGTCTTCTCTCGCAAATTCAACGGGCAGCGTGACATCAGGTGGCCCAACTCACATATTGTGGCTGAGATATATCCTCTCGACAATCGAAGAGTACCAGGCTCGACTTCATGGCAGAGTCTACAGCAACATCGATCTCGGTCGGCATGTGAGCAACTGGAACCCATCCGGAGAGCAGGAACATCAGCGTTCATCTCGCACGGTGAGTTGATACGATTTCTGCAAATCACCTCCGGCCTGGTCTCGACAGACTCTGCTTGCCAGAATCTCCTTCACAACTTGTTAGGGAGCTCAGAAGTTTCCTCTCGCTGACTTTGCTGGTCGAATCGCTCCATCCCAGTCTGCGCTTACATCCGACAACTTGCTGTGATTCTACGGAAGGAGTGCTGTTCGAGTGGATGGGGGAAGGTCAAGGTTCCAGACCATCAAAAATGGTACCGAGCAGCCCGGTTCTGACGCCCTTAAACCGAGACCTACCGACAGTGGTGACGTCACGGCCACGCGCATCCGAATCATTCATTTGATAGCACTGCTGGGTGCTGGTGCCATCATGTCACAGCTGTCCTGACGGCTCAGTGCTTTGTCCTGACGAGCGGTGCTCTTTGTCCGACCGTGAGGCCCTCAGTGCCGTGCAAGCAATGGAGCGGTGGAACGTCTACCTCTGAGGGCGACGTTTAACACTCCGGATGGCCAGTCCGTGATGAACACGCTCCTCGCCTAAGTTCTCAGACTGGGCGGGAGCACCTGTTGCTAGGTGGTAGGCTCGAATGCTACGTAGTCTACGAAGTGACGAGCGCCCTGCCAGAGGATCACTGTCGCTGACGCACTGTCACGCCAGCGGCTGTCCACTACAGGGCCCGTAGAAGAAGCCGATGAGGAAAAGGTCGTCATCTGCGTCAGGGGCGAACACATCACCGCTAACGGCGGAGAAGAAGGTTCGAGAGGCAGCTGTAAAGGACCCTGAGGGGTGTTCACGGGCACCGCACACTGCTGGTGCGGTGGTGTGCGGCGGTGCGTCCAGCAGGCGTGGGGGTAGGGGATGGGTAGGCGGCTCTGACGTCACGGCTGCGTGCGGTGAACGATCCGCTGTGGCCAGTCCCGACCGGCCACAGCGGTCGCTGTGTGCGGTGACGGAAGGCTGACGTAGGGACGCAGTGGGCGGAGCTTGGAGGCTGTGTGCGGTCCGACCGCACACAGGGCCCGTGAACAGCCCTCAGCTCTCCAGAACTGAGTGACGTCATCCTTTCCACTTCAGCAAAACTCGTCCCCTGCTGTCATTTCGGAATTCGGCAACACCGTGAGACTTGCTATAGGCATGTCGTGCCACTCTCCGTATCTCAAATCGTCCTTTGATACTGATGTCCATTGATACGGCTTTAAAGATGCTTCAAAGACGGCAAAAACCCATACGTCCTCGCGACCGAACAGGATAAACTCAATGCAGACAGCATATAACCACATGTCAAAAGCCCTCACGTCGTCCTTGTGTAGTGTAGCGACGTATTGGGTTTTGACGTTGCAAGCATTTCATAATCTGCAAGAACGTCTATGGGTTTACCGACGTGGATTTTGTCACTGGCACATAGGTTAGCCATGACGTGGGTTTTCGCCGACGTAGTGGGTTTTGACTGTGTCACTTCCGTGCTTTTCAAAGACGTGTGAATTCCAAAATTTGTTTTTCCTCTCCCAAAAAGCTTTTTTTGGTTTTTGAAAAAAATCTCATGGCATGAAATAGAGCTTTGCAAGCTGGTCACAATGGTGTAAAAAACGAAAAATGACCCAAAATTGACATGTGGGGTTTTGACTTTGGACGGCAGCAGAATGTGTTGGACTTGGTGCTTCATGCTTCCTGTCTGCCGTTTTCTTTGTTTGTTAGCCATTGCCGCAAGATACATAGGTGCCTCTACTAGCGAGTCTAAAAAATCGGGAGGGGCAAACCATCAACATTTAATGTTTCTTTGCATATAAAAAGGTATACAAATTTAACAAAGAGGGTATTTAATGCAGGAAATTTCAATACGTTTATGAAAATAATGCAACACGTAAAGCTGATGCAGGCGATGTAAGGCGCCAAACCTTTCACTTACTTTTTTGCGGCTTCTTCCGCTGTTCATGGCCTGTGGACATTAAAAAATATAGTTAACATTAGGAATAGAACCACTTAACCATGTAATTCTGTTAACATTACATGGTTATGCATGAGAACATAAATTTGGCCGGGCGTCGCAAGTCCATCTACGACACGTCGCAAGTTACGACACATGTCCCGTCGCAAGTTGTGTCGTAGCGAAAAAGGAGGGATGTTGAGGAAAGAGGGGGTTTGTCGGAGGATACGACAGAACGTAGCTACGACGAGGCTTAAATACCCGCTTTACTCGAGAATTTAAAAGGCTACACGATCAGCTGATCCCGTAGTAAACGTCAGTAAGGTCGAAAACTCTATCACGCATAACGGAACATTCGCCTTTCTGGTTTGAGAGCTTATGAGACAGCCAGGTCAAGCATGTTCTCTGATTCTGAAGCTTTGTCTCAACTGGGTGACTTGTGATCGCTAACGCTCACATAATTTGCCATAAAATTTGGGGTCGATCACAGGAGATTCGTGGCTAAAGAGCATCTAGAAGCTATGCTTTAGAAGAAATGAGTTCAGAGAGTTTGAAGTCACAGAGAGGTAAGAGAGTTGAAGTTGGAGGTCACAATTGGAGGTTACAGAGGTCATCTGGGACACGTCAGGTCACAGAAGTCAACTTGGGGACACGTCAGGTCACAGAGGTTAACTTTGGGTCATCACAGAGCTCAATTGGAGGTCAACTGGGACACGTCAGGTCACAAGAGTCAGCTTGGGGTCATCAAAGAGCTCAATTGGAGGTCACGGAGGTCATCTGGGACACGTCAAGTCACAGAGGTCAACTTGGGGTCATCACAGAGCTCAATTGGAGGTCATATGGGTCATCTGAGATACGTCAGGTCACAGAGGTCAACTTGGGGGTTATCACAGAGCTCTATTGGAGGTCATGGGGGTCATATGAGACACGTCAGGTCACAGAGGTCAACTTGAGGTCACCACAGGGCTCAATTGTAGGCCATCTGGGGACACTTCAGGTCACAGAGGTCAACTTGGGGTCATCAGAGACCTCAATTTGAGATCAGCTGGGACACGTCAGGTCACAGAGGTCAGCTTGGGGTTATCAGAGGTCACTTAGAGGTCATAGAGGTCATCTGGGACACGTCAGGTCAGAGAGGTCAACTTGGGGTCATCACAGAGCTCATTTTGAGATCATCTGGGACACGTCTGGTCACAGAGGTCAGCTTGGGCTCATCACAGAGCTCAATTGGGACACGTCAGGTCACAGAGGTCAGCTCGGAGTCATGAGAGAGCTCAATTGGAGGTCATATAGGACTCGTCAGGTCACAGAGGTCAACTTGGGGTCATCACAAAACTCGGAAGTCATCTGAGACACGTCAGGTCACAGAGGTCAGCTCGGAGTAATGAGAGAGCTCAATGGGAGGTCACGGAGGTCATCTGAGACACGGCAGATCACAGAGGTCAACTGGGGTCATCACAGAGCTAAATTGGAGCCATGGGGGCCATCTGAGACACGTCGTTTTTGGAATTGGGAGAATCTTTTGGGGGATGCCCCTCGCAACGTCCAAGATCGCCTTTCTGGACTCGCCAGTAGTTGCTGGAATGATATAAGGCTGCTTTGTATCCCTGAATACCCCAATGAATTTGAATATAACATATTATGCACCATTTTTAACACTCGCTGGCACGGATTGAGGCCTCACAGATGACCCGTCGGTTCAAGCTCTATAACTCGCGTTAGCGTCAACGGATTGTAACCAAATTTTAACTCAAGTTCAAACAATTTTACACTAACCATGTAAATTTCGTGACCATGGCCCGAATGACCTGTGACCTGTGACCTCTTCCTCAAAGCAAGGTTAGCTTACGACACAACTTACGACTGCTATTTCAAATTCGTAAGTTGTGTCGCAAATCAGGCAACTTGCGACAGGCTTTACTACTTAAGTAACGCTACTCATCGATTGATCCCTCCAAAAACGACTTACTACACAACTTGCGACACGTCGCAGTTACGACGAGGCTTACGACGCTCTGGATTCCTCCGGCCAAAAAGATCTTTTCGCTTCATGTCTTGTTAAAGATTTTGAGTTTGTCGTTTCGTTAGCACGACGTCCCCTAAACCTGCACCTGTCTACTGCTTTTTTTTTGCCACCCCGAACAAGAACGACTGAGGAGGGGGGGGCTTGATACGACCCCACTTACGTTTCGCTCCCATGGAACTAAAAACAGCAAATTTTCATGGGAAAGGGGCTCATGAGTCCTCGCTCCCTAACTACATCAATATTTAGAGGGTTTGCATGATAAAAGCCAGCATTAAAAATAAAAATGGCGCTTTTCAGCACGAAACGCTACGTGTCTCGAAAAAAACATAAAAGCTAGAACAATTTAAGATAGCATTCGATAACTTAGAACAAGCCCTATCGAGCTTTATCAAAATATTTTGTCTCAATACGTTAAGCTCAAGATTTCACCAAAGGAGACGCAGTGAGTGTTGCTTAAATACTTTTTTGCATATGACATTTCATATGTAACAGATTTAGCAAAATTGCAAACGAGGCCGAGGGTAGACGAGGTTGGGTGGCGGGCGGCGCTTCACGCCGCCATCGAGCTGCTATTGCAAAAAAAAAAATCGCCCATGGGTCGGATTCCCTCCCTCCTCAGACGGACGTGAGTAAAGGCATTCTCGCATGGACAATGCAGTTATTGAGCGATACGCTTATTATCCTGCATCGATCGCAGTGCTTCAATAAATGCATATGAACTCACCTATGCAATTGCCCTCCCACTATAAAACTTCAGGCCGGACTATAGTCTGTTCCATATCAAGCTTGCGGTCGGAGTCCCCTTGGCAGTTCCAGGCAATTCGCTGAGCGCGCTACTCCATTCAATAATTTGAGTCTTAGAATGTAAGATGTATGCACAGAAATCACGCACTGCCTTCAACAGAGCACTTCAGCCGCAAGCTTGACATGGAACACACTATAGATGTAGTGAATGCGCCTCACCTCCTTCATCGTCCTCTTGGCGATCATCAGCCGGACCGCCCTCATTTTCAGAGCCTGGCTCGTCGAAGTCCTCTGAAAAACCGTCTCTGTCAGATTTAAGAATATGTGTGATGCAAAATAAGTGCCTGCCATAATGGGCAAGCATTTCTGAAAAAAAAACGCTGAACGGAACATATGTGCTACGGTGGTACCCGGACTGCTTTGGCTATCCGCGCTCGTCCTTAATCTGAAGTACAGCACCATGGGTCTGCATATAACCTAGTAGTACCAGTGAACTTTAACGGTCTTACATTGCCTTCGCTCTGTACGATTCTCTTCATGGTGTTATTGCATTGCCTCTTTAACACTACATTGCAAATTAATGCTTTAACTGCATGAAATGTCTGCTAAAATGACAGACGAATGGTGATGTTACGATTAGCACATGTACAAACGATTAGTTACCTTCAGTGAGCATCTCCTCCAGGCTCCGTCCGCTATATTTTGAGAGGCATCCTTCGTCCAGCTTCATCATCAGGATGGAGGCACGCGTCAGTTCGTGAGTAGCGTCTGACAGTCTGTAGTAACCACGATGCACGTCTTTGTCATGTCCCATGTGCCGGGTGAGCACCTCCATATCGAATTCACCCATCTCTAGAATCTGGGACGTTGTAGCACAATATTTCCGTAGTTTTGTTGCATGGAAGAGATCTGCCCTGTTTAGTGCCATGTCCGACAACTGCTCTTTAAGCACCACGCCTGCGTTGTAGTGTCCTGTAGTCCTCGCCAGAGGGTTTGCGAACAGATACTTGTTATCCTTGTCAATGTACGTCTCCCGGTTGTCTACCAGTAGCTGCAGCGGAGCCGCGCAGTCGCTCGGTATCAGGGTGGGGACCTTGTTCCCGCACTTGCCGCGGGACATGACGACGTCGAGCTCGTTGAACAACTTCTTTTCTGTTTCACCCATTGACTTGTTCACTTCTTCTACCGTCTCTTGTTTGTACATCTCTCGGTTGATCCATGATTGCAGCAGGATGCTGCTAAGCTCCTTAGGACGGCGTTTGTTGAATACTAGCAAACGGGCGAGAACCGCTTTGCTCAGCCTTGCATAGTCTGTCATGCCATGTATTCCCTTTTCTGTCATTTCTTTCACTCGTTCCTTCATTTTTTCGGTGAAAAGCTTCAAATCGCTGGTAAAGGGCAGCATGTCTTTCTTGTCATACTTGTTCGACTCGCGGTTCTTCAGCGCTACGCTGCTGATCTTCACATTCCAGAATTGGTCCACGTGATACAAGAACGCCTCAGCATCTTTCACTTCGCTTTCTTCTTTCTTGATCAGCGCAATGCCCTTCTTGAGAGCAGCCAGCTGTCGTAGTTCGCCTCCAATCCGCATGGCCTTTGAAGGAGTTTTGTATGTGGGCAGCCCCGTGTGGGCGTTTAGCTTGTCCTGCTCAAACCCACAGACGGATTTGGTGGCACTTACAACCGTATCAAATCCTTCGCCATTGATCAGCTCTTGCATGCTCTTTCCGGCTGCTTGGACAACTTCGCCCATCATCCTTAGGCGCTGGCTTATCTGCGCAAAACCCGACCTTCCAAGTTTCGCGTGCAAGTTGGCACCCCACTTCTTCAGGAGTTCATCGTTCTTTATGGTCTTCGTAACTGCATCGTCGTGCATACGAGACAATATGTCCTTGTGATACCCAGTATTTTCTTCTTGGCCGTCACTCAGGAGCGTCCGGCTCTCTGCCAGCACCGTGGGAATGTCTGGGCATTCTGTTTTGCGAGCCACACAGTGATGTTTTATGTGCTGCATCATGTTGGTTTTAACCACAAAAAGATAGCAGTAAGGACATGGCACGTAGTCGTCCACGGACGCCTGGTCCGACTTCCTTCCCAAGATCATGTCACCTTCACCCCTTTGTAGGACGAGTTTGTTGTGCTCCATGTTGCCTTTGTTGATCATCACGGTGATTTTCATTTTTCGTTCCTGCTCAGAATCACACTCCTGGATATCCTTGACTTCCTTCTCGTCACGGTGGACCGTCTTGATATGGCGCCATATCAGATTTCTCTTTTGCTTGCAATATATGCAAACATTTTTTTTCCGCACTTCGCCGCACGATGCGCCGTTCCTCGCCGACTGAGATGTACGCGACTGAGAACTGTGCTGGGGCGGAGCCACCTCAACACCGTCGCTGACATCAGACTCAGCTCCCTGTTCTCCGTATTCGTTCTCCTCCAAATGGTGGTTCTCGGGAGCCGTGATCTCTGTTTGATTGCACATCAAGTGCTCAGGAAAAGTCCATGTGCCATGGTCCCCTGCATCCTGGACTGAAGCCCTCGAAGTAGAGCAGGTGGGTGACATAAGGTCGTACTCGCTTGCAGAGAACGGCGTCATGTCGATCAGTTCAGTTGGCAGTGCTGTTGAATAAGAGGTTTTTACTGACCCACAAACTCCCGTCTCAGAGGTAGGTGGGGAAACACGAGACGGGGCTCCAACCGTCGCCCCAGTAGTTGTACACAGATGAAGAGCATCCCATCTTCTAGCGTCCGGGGTCGGGACGGGCGGCAGGCCTCCAGCCGCAGTCTCGGAAGTCGCACGCAGATGACGGGCATCAGCCCGCCTTCCCGCTTCAGAGGTCGGGACGGGCGGCGGGGCTCTGGCCGCAGTCTCAGAAGTCTCACGCAGATGATGAGCACCCCACCTTCTAGCGTCCGCGGTCGGGACGGGCGGCGGGCCTCCGGTCGCAGTCTCAGAAGTCTCACGCAGATAAAGAGCATCCCACCTTCCAGCGTCCGGGGTCGGGACGGGCGGCGGGGCTCCGGTCGCAGTCTCAGAAGTCTCACGCAGATGAAGAGCATCCCACCTTCTAGCGTCCGGGGTCGGGACGGGCGGCGGGCCTCCGGTCGCAGTCTCAGAAGTCTCACGCAGATGAAGAACATCCCACCTTCCAGCGTCCGGGGTCGGGACGGGCGGCGGGGCTCCGGTCGCAGTCTCAGAAGTCTCACGCAGATGAAGAGCATCCCACCTTCCAGCGTCAGAGGTCGGGACGGGCGGCGGGGCTCTGGCCGCAGTCTCAGAAGTCTCACGCAGATGATGAGCATCCCACCTTCCAGCGTCCGGGGTCGGGACGGGCGGCGGGCCTCCGGTCGCAGTCTCAGAAGTCTCACGCAGATGATGAGCATCCCATCTTCCAGCGTCCGGGGTCGGGACGGGCGGCGGGCCTCCGGTCGCAGTCTCAGAAGTCTTACGCAGATGAAGAGCATCCCACCTTCCAGCGTCAGAGGTCGGGACGGGCGGCGGGGCTCTGGCCACAGTCTCAGAAGTCTCACGCAGATGAGCATCCCACGTTCTAGCGTCAGAGGTCGGGACGGGCGGCGGGGCTCCGGTCGCAGTCTCAGAAGTCTCACGCAGATGAAGAGCATCCCACCTTCCAGCGTCCGGGGTCGGGACGGGCGGCGGGGCTTCGGTCGCAGTCTCAGAAGTCTCACGCAGATGAAGAGCATCCCACCTTCCAGCGACCGGGGTCGGGACGGGCGGCGGGGCTCTGGCCGCAGTCTCAGAAGTCTCACGCAGATGAGCATCCCACGTTCTAGCGTCAGAGGTCGGGACGGGCGGCGGGGCTCTGGCCGCAGTCTCAGAAGTCTCACGCAGATGATGAGCATCCAACCTTCTAGCGTCCGGGGTCGGGACGGGCGGCGGGCCTCCGGTCGCAGTCTCAGAAGTCTCACGCAGATGAAGAGCATCCCACCTTCCAGCGTCCGGGGTCGGGACGGGCGGCGGGGCTCCGGTCGCAGTCTCAGAAGTCTCACGCAGAAGAGCATCCCACCTTCCAGCGTCAGAGGTCGGGACGGGCGGTGGGGCTCTGGCCGCAGTCTCAGAAGTCTCACGCAGATGAGCATCCCACGTTCTAGCGTCAGAGGTCGGGACGGGCGGCGGGGCTCTGGCCGCAGTCTCAGAAGTCTCACGCAGATGATGAGCATCCAACCTTCTAGCGTCCGGGGTCGGGACGGGCGGCGGGCCTCCGGTCGCAGTCTCAGAAGTCTCACGCAGATGAAGAGCATCCCACCTTCCAGCGTCCGGGGTCGGGACGGGCGGCGGGCCTCCGGTCGCAGTCTCAGAAGTCTCACGCAGATGAAGAGCATCCCACCTTCTAGCGTCCGGGGTCGGGACGGGCGGCGGGCCTCCGGTCGCAGTCTCAGAAGTCTCACGCAGATGAAGAGCATCCCACCTTCTAGCGTCCGGGGTCGGGACGGGCGGCGGGGCTCTGGCCGCAGTCTCAGAAGTCTCACGCAGATGAAGAGCATCCCACCTTCCAGCGTCAGAGGTCGGGACGGGCGGCGGGGCTCTGGCCGCAGTCTCAGAAGTCTCACGCAGATGATGAGCATCCCACCTTCCAGCGTCCGGGGTCGGGACGGGCGGCGGGGCTCCGGTCGCAGTCTCAGAAGTCTCACGCAGATGAAGAGCATCCCACCTTCTAGCGTCCGGGGTCGGGACGGGCGGCGGGCCTCCGGTCGCAGTCTCAGAAGTCTCACGCAGATGAAGAGCATCCCACCTTCTAGCGTCCGGGGTCGGGACGGGCGGCGGGGCTCTGGCCGCAGTCTCAGAAGTCTCACGCAGATGAAGAGCATCCCACCTTCCAGCGTCAGAGGTCGGGACGGGCGGCGGGGCTCTGGCCGCAGTCTCAGAAGTCTCACGCAGATGAAGAGCATCCCACCTTCTAGCGTCCGGGGTCGGGACGGGCGGCGGGCCTCCGGTCGCAGTCTCAGAAGTCTCACGCAGATGAAGAGCATCCCACCTTCCAGCGTCCGGGGTCGGGACGGGCGGCGGGGCTCCGGTCGCAGTCTCAGAAGTCTCACGCAGATGAAGAGCATCCCACCTTCCAGCGTCAGAGGTCGGGACGGGCGGCGGGCCTCCGGTCGCAGTCTCAGAAGTCTCACGCAGATGATGAGCATCCCATCTTCTAGCGTCCGGGGTCGGGACGGGCGGCGGGCCTCCGGTCGCAGTCTCAGAAGTCTCACGCAGATGAAGAGCATCCCACCTTCCAGCGTCCGGGGTCGGGACGGGCGGCGGGCCTCCGGTCGCAGTCTCAGAAGTCTCACGCAGATGATGAGCATCCCATCTTCTAGCGTCCGGGGTCGGGACGGGCGGCGGGCCTCCGGTCGCAGTCTCAGAAGTCTCACGCAGATGATGAGCATCCCATCTTCTAGCGTCCGGGGTCGGGACGGGCGGCGGGGCTCTGGCCGCAGTCTCAGAAGTCTTACGCAGATGAAGAGCATCCCACCTTCCAGCGTCAGAGGTCGGGACGGGCGGCGGGCCTCCGGTCGCAGTCTCAGAAGTCTCACGCAGATGAAGAGCATCCCACCTTCCAGCGTCCGGGGTCGGGACGGGCGGCGGGGCTCCGGTCGCAGTCTCAGAAGTCTCACGCAGATGAAGAGCATCCCACCTTCCAGCGTCAGAGGTCGGGACGGGCGGCGGGCCTCCGGTCGCAGTCTCAGAAGTCTCACGCAGATGATGAGCATCCCATCTTCTAGCGTCCGGGGTCGGGACGGGCGGCGGGCCTCCGGTCGCAGTCTCAGAAGTCTCACGCAGATGAAGAGCATCCCACCTTCCAGCGTCCGGGGTCGGGACGGGCGGCGGGCCTCCGGTCGCAGTCTCAGAAGTCTCACGCAGATGATGAGCATCCCATCTTCTAGCGTCCGGGGTCGGGACGGGCGGCGGGCCTCCGGTCGCAGTCTCAGAAGTCTCACGCAGATGATGAGCATCCCATCTTCTAGCGTCCGGGGTCGGGACGGGCGGCGGGGCTCTGGCCGCAGTCTCAGAAGTCTTACGCAGATGAAGAGCATCCCACCTTCCAGCGTCAGAGGTCGGGACGGGCGGTGGGGCTCCGGTCGCAGTCTCAGAAGTCTCACGCAGATGAAGAGCATCCCACCTTCCAGCGTCAGAGGTCGGGACGGGCGGCGGGGCTCTGGCCGCAGTCTCAGAAGTCTCACGCAGATGATGAGCATCCCACCTTCTAGCGTCCGGGGTCGGGACGGGCGGCGGGCCTCCGGTCGCAGTCTCAGAAGTCTCACGCAGATGAAGAGCATCCCACCTTCCAGCGTCCGGGGTCGGGACGGGCGGCGGGGCTCCGGTCGCAGTCTCAGAAGTCTCACGCAGATGAAGAGCATCCCATCTTCTAGCGTCCGGGGTCGGGACGGGCGGCGGGCCTCCGGTCGCAGTCTCAGAAGTCTCACGCAGATGAAGAGCATCCCACCTTCCAGCGTCCGGGGTCGGGACGGGCGGCGGGGCTCCGGTCGCAGTCTCAGAAGTCTCACGCAGATGATGAGCATCCCATCTTCTAGCGTCAGAGGTCGGGACGGGCGGCGGGCCTCCGGTCGCAGTCTCAGAAGTCTCACGCAGATGAAGAGCATCCCACCTTCCAGCGTCCGGGGTCGGGACGGGCGGCGGGGCTCCGGTCGCAGTCTCAGAAGTCTCACGCAGATGAAGAGCATCCCATCTTCTAGCGTCCGGGGTCGGGACGGGCGGCGGGGCTCCGGTCGCAGTCTCAGAAGTCTCACGCAGATGAAGAGCATCCCACCTTCCAGCGTCAGAGGTCGGGACGGGCGGTGGGGCTCTGGCCACAGTCTCAGAAGTCTCACGCAGATGAGCATCCCACGTTCTAGCGTCAGAGGTCGGGACGGGCGGCGGGGCTCTGGCCGCAGTCTCAGAAGTCTCACGCAGATGATGAGCATCCAACCTTCTAGCGTCCGGGGTCGGGACGGGCGGCGGGCCTCCGGTCGCAGTCTCAGAAGTCTCACGCAGATGAAGAGCATCCCACCTTCCAGCGTCCGGGGTCGGGACGGGCGGCGGGGCTCCGGTCGCAGTCTCAGAAGTCTCACGCAGATGAAGAGCATCCCACCTTCCAGCGTCAGAGGTCGGGACGGGCGGCGGGGCTCCGGTCGCAGTCTCAGAAGTCTCACGCAGATGATGAGCATCCCACCTTCTAGCGTCCGGGGTCAGGACGGGCGGCGGAGCTCCGTCCATCGCATGGGTAGCCGGTCGCAGCTCATGAGTCGTCATAGTCAAGTCAAGTCCAGGATATTTGTGGTATACATGATACTCAGTGGTGTGAGGAGGGGTTTCATCCACGCGGCCGGCTGACCCAGGAGATGAAGGGAGGACTTCTGGAAAGAAAAGATATGGCAACGCATAAGGAAGCATGGCGGTAGGAGGATGAATGCTGTCTTGATTTTTTAACCATCACCAGTGATTCGGCGAGTGATTTTAAAATGTAGGATCAGGTAGTGAGCCAAAAAAAGAACAATGTCTAAAGAAAAACCAGAAAAATGATTGAATTATGATGTGTTGATTAGCATAGATACAAGTAGATTTGGGTGGACTGAGTAACTGGTAACAACACAAATGTAGGCACCATAGTCACGTCTTACCTCGTCCATTTTTACGTGAGTGACGCTGCGCGCCTTTATGTCTGCCACGGGAGTGGAGAGCAGCAAGCAGCATCCTCTTCCCATATGATCCAGCTATGCGCCCTGTCAAATATTGATAGCTATTAGCTAACATAAAATACTAAAGGAAGTTTCCCAGCCAGCAATTGGTTTGGCTCAAGTCCGTTTTGCCCTAGCGACTCCGGCACGCCAGATTTGGGCCGGTGTAAACGGAACGCCGTCGGAATAAGAGTTTGGGTCGATATGGCTCTATTCCGGTTAACCAGTCTTTGCCGTAGCGTTCCGGAGCTAGTATGGCTTCGGACCGACAAGTCCGGCC